ATAAAAGTATGACATATACTATGTTACAGATTATGTATGAATTCATGATATCTATGATGTTGTTGTTGTAACGACCCCAGAAATTTAAAATGAAATGTGTATTAAAAATATCAAATGCGGAAACGAAGTCAAAAATTCGATTAACATCCCTTACACTAAAACAAAAAACGTGCTCACAAAATATAAAAGATCAAACTACCTAAAGGAGAAACTTGAAAGTAAAAGCTACGAATATGACTATGGAGTTTTTAGGCGTCCCCTTCGTCGTCCTCCTACGGAACGGGCTCGGGAACAATGTCTTCCTGATCTGAAATGATTAAATAAGGAATGAGCTACACTAGCCTAGTAAGGACATCACGATATCTCACCGTCACGGAGGTAAAGGTGGGTAGAAAACACAAAAAGACCAATGGAGCATAATTTACAACAAATTCTTGTCAATAATGAATCCTTTACCATCCACTTACCTTGGTGAAATTCATAAAACAGTATACGAAAGCAATAACATTATCATCATCATGAAATCATATATAAACTGCATAACATAATACTTATCACGCCTTTTGTAATTCAATCATTACACAACATATTTTCCTCTTTTACCAGCCCACTAGTATCTATGGGGATCTATAGGGGTCCCACTACCCGTTAACCCTTAACACTTGAAATCAGATTCCAGGGCCGTCCCCATACCCCGTCCGGTATGGGCGCCAAAACTATAAACCTCATTACCCCGTCCGGTATAAGGGTGAAATGGGCCGTCCCCATACCCCGTCCGGTATGGGTGCCAAAACACATAAGATCTCCATACCCCGTCCGGTATGGGAGACCACAATCCCGGTAGGGTTCCCTACGGACCCGGTCCGTCCACCATCTCCCAAGATAAATAGTCAGGTTGACCACATTATACAATTACCCATTTACATAATCTTTCATTCTCTTTTTCCTCAGTCAGCATCATCAATTCACATACAAACAAGCAAAACGGTAATTTATGCCAAACAGACAACATACAGCATCAATATCCCAGTCATTCAATCCATAATCAATAAAACAGTAAAATATGCACACGAAACTATAAAATGAAAACATCAAACCTCATACTGCATTTAAAACTATAAAACAGGCCAAATAACAGTTAACCGACAAACACACTAGACTCGGGCTCCATTAGCGACCTTAAGCAATTTCACACATTCGTTGATTCAAGAAATGCCGTTTTATCATTATTGAACTTTAATACCGTGATAGGAAATAGGGTGAGGGGTCCTTACTCGTTTCGGGGTCCGAACACGGCTTCACAGTGCGCCTACAGACTGTCCCTAATTTTCCCTGAATTTTTTCCAGGGAACTGAAACGCACTACTGGTACCTGCATGTGTTCCAAAAAAATCTCAAATTAGGCCTAGGGCCCCTTTTTGGCCAATATCGCAATTCCGGCACGACGGCTCCGCCGTGCTCCGGCGACGACGATTCGCCTCGGTTTGGCCATTTTTGGCCGAATTTGGCCACACTTGCATCGGTCCTTGCGATAAAACAACCCTAGGGCCCTCAGGGGGCCAAAAAAATTACGGAAAACCGAAGCTTACCGGCAGTGGCGCTCTCGGGTGCGGCGGCTCTCCGGTGAGGTTCGTGTTTTGGTGATTCAGCTCCGATCAACCTGTAGAGAAAAGAATGGTGATCACGGTGATATAAAAATTGCATCAAACGGAGGCCGGGAAGGGCCTCATCGAAGGCAAAAATCGAGGAGGGGCGCGGCGGCGCCGCTGGGTTTTGGCCGTGTTTTTCGGCCGTTTGGCTGGGATTTTGGCTCCGATTTGGCCACAGGGGAAATCAGCGTGGAAAAACGAGTCGGGGGTATGAAATTTACCTCGATCGGTGGTCGGAAATCTCCCCGGTGTGGCGGCGGGTGGCGGCGGTCGGCGTCTGGTTCGTCTTCTCCGGCGAGGGCAGGCTGCTAGGGTTTTTGTGGTCAGGTGTGGGGGTTCTATTTATACCCTTTTGCCTTTTGATCTCAGCCATCCATTTTGATTTAATCTGGGCCGTCCGTACACACGCTTGATCTGGGCCGTCCGATCGCGTGTACGCGGATCGCCAACGCGGCCCGTCCCCGGTCGACGTGGTTTTGCCACGTGGCAGGTCCTGGTTGGCCGGGACTGCTGACTGAGTCTGCTGACGTGGCTATTGACGTGGTGTTTTGTTTTTAACCTAATTAAAATAATAATTTTTTTTCAAATTTCCGGGCGTTACAGTTGTTTCCATGGATTGTTTTTATAAATCCCGCTGAGATAAGTGGACGGTAAATGGTTTGATTATTGATAAACGAATTTATTAAAAATTGTGCTCTATTAGTTGTTTTTGGTTCTCTACCAACCTTTACTTCTGTGACAGTGATATAGTGTGATGTCTTTACTCAGTTAGTGTAGCTCATTCCTTACTTAACTATTTCAGATCAGGAGGACTTGGTTCTCGAGCCCGATCCACAAGAAGACGGCAAGTAGATGCCTAGATGTTTATTAGTTTTCTTATAGTCTTTCACTTCTAGTATTTCCTTTAGAGGACTTATTTTTTGATATTATTAGTACGTTTAAGTTATTGTGTAAGGGATATTAATCAAGACATTTTATTTCGTTTCCGCACTCATATTCTTTATATATATTTCTTTTTAAATTTCTGAGGCCGTTACAAAATCTATCTCCATTATAGAACTTGCCACCAATACTAAAGCTACCTTAATAGCTAATGTGATACATAGTTTGAAGCCATAATTCCCATACTCTTGGAAAAGAGACTTAAAACAACCATAACAGTCTTTAAAAATAATACTAATGTCCACTGACTCTAATTTTTCCCACACTAAATCATCTACATTAACTTTAAGTATCTTGTTCTCTAATGGATTCCAAACAGATGGTTCAGTTGGTTTTCGTGGACCCCAATCATTTATTATTATTGGTAAAGAGATGACCATCTCATTAATTGACATGCCACCAAATCACTATACAAGGCCTTTAGCCAGCGCATCAATCTAATTTTGTTACATATGTTACCAATAGGTTCTTATCTTGGAAGACCTTCTCATTCCTTACAAATCATAAAGAACCACAGAGTCACATATAAAAGTATTTCAAGTACTAACTTACCCTAAGTAAGACTCACCGTATATTGTCATAGCAATAACAAGAGAGAAGATACTTGGTAGGATAACCCATGTTATGTTCCACCAACCAAACATATCTAAAATACAAAAAGATATGGTTAATTGTCTCTACACTCTCCCTACATAAAATACATTCATTCATCACCTCTAATCTCACGTGACAATGTTCTAAAATAAATCATTTACAGTATTTAAATTGTGTGAAACTCTCAATAATTTGGCCGAATTAAAGATACTATCATTAGAATATATGGCGCTATAAATTATATTACAATTTTTTCAACAAGTGCATCGATCAGAAAAATTATTTTTGAATTTTTGAGGAAATATATGCAAAATATTCTTAAATCCCTTGATTTTTTCGAAATTAATTTCACAATATTTTTAAGAAAATTTAATAATAATAAAAAGTTTGATATCTTTAATTTTTATTTTTGATTATTTAATGTAAGTAATTATTAAAATTGTAATTAAAACCTTGTTAATTATTCATATTAATTACTAGAATTATTATAGAATATTCATTCTATTAATACTAAAATTATAATATAAAAAATAAAAATACAAATTAATTATATCTAAATAATTAAAAAATAATAGAAATAGATACTATATAATGTTAGATACATCCATATAATCATATCATTATCATGAAAATCATCTTTGTAGCGAGCATCATAAACCCTAATCTTCTTCATCTACCACTGAAACCAGTCCTACCTTCATTTGAAATGGTGCCTGCGATGAGGATGGCCAAATTCCATCATGTAAGTTTGACGTATTTCATTAGACAAAGTCTTAACAAAATTTTAAAATTTCCATTTAATTAACTCTTAATTAATTAATTAGCATTTAATCATAATTAACTCTAATATAATCAAATTATGCATTAAACTTTAATCCAAAAACCAAGTTTAATTAAATCTAGCTTGTAAAGCTACACTCTAGTTTTAAATTGATTATATGTATAGCGTTCCTGGAATTGCTTATTTGGTATTTATAAATAGTTTTGAACATGATTGCTCCAAAATTTCTGAGTTTTTTTTTTTTTTGTGACTTACAAAAAATAAAATATTTATTAAGTTCTCAAAAATAACTTTAAAAAAAGTAAAAAAATCAGCACTATGATCTTAATTTTTGTTATGTTCTTTTATTTTTTAAGTAATTTAAGTACTTACTCTTTTAATATTTCTTAAAATTAATTATATATACATAAAACAGTATGAACAGTAAAAATACTTGTAGTAAATATATATTTTTAGTTTTTCTAATAAAATATGTTTTTACTATCAATTAAGTACTTTGCAATTCTCTCTCAATGAAGAATATATATATATATATATATATCATTTCAGTAGTAAATTTGAAATTTATTGCTTCAGTCCAGAATAACTATCGAAAATCAACACATTGCACCAGGTTTTGCAGCTCAATTGGCAGATAAGCTCAGCCTCTGTTCTAAGTTTTCAGTACATGAATTCAACCTCACTTCGTCTACACCATCAAAAAGGAAATAAAGAAATCAACTCATTGGATTTAATCGTGTTCCAGTGCATTAATCATGGCTTCCCTTGTGTCGATTTAAGGAGCAATACAAGACAGGCTACCACCATTCTAAGGTGGTACCAGATATTTCTGCTGTAATCTTGTAGAACTTATAAAAAGAACAGCGTTTATTAAGATCTTTGTGTTCTCATATGTTCTCGTTAGTAGATTGTGTTATAACTAGTATCTGTCACTTAACAATGAAATGTACGGATTTTCAGAAAAGATCAAATGGATGAAGATGATCAGAGCAAAAAACTTGACTAACATCTTCAACAATATTATGAAAGAAATTTCCTAATCTTGAAACCAGAAAGTGGAGAAACACATGTTTAGAATGAAAGAATGTGAAACAGAGAACTGCTTATTCAGCTCCTCTAACTGGATTGTGAGAATGGTCAACCTCTCAGTACACAGCAAATCAGTAAAGCCTCAGGGCCAATCAATATCAACAATTGAAGCATCAGACTTTCCCAGACTGAAATCAGTGTTAAAAAGTGGTAGAAAACAATTGCTTTAGAGAAACAGGATAGAATACCGTCTCTAATCGTGCTTGATTCCCAACATTTTCATGGCCAGCTCCCATGTGACGATTGCCGCTGCATTAGCAGGAAAAGCTCTCATTATCGTAGGACCCAAACCTGCATAGCATCCTTTAAGTCCAGCCCTCCAATAAATCTACAGAAGGAAAAGAATTAGTTCTTCAGTATTATAGTTCGATTCACAGAGCCACACCTATTTGCCCTACTTTATCTGAGCTAGAAAATAGAGGATATGAGGTGTAGAAGTTGATTCTGAAAGTAAAAATAAAAAACATAGGGGAACATTTGTTCTGGAAGAAAAAAGAAAAAACAAAACCAACGAAAAAATCAGAGCATCTTACGGAGTTCAAAATAAGGAAAGGATTTCTGGAGGAACTTCTATCTGGAGTAGTCTGGATAATGGTTTTTGCCACATCCAAGGGCAAAACAGCTGACCAGAACTAAATACATCATATGGAAAATTTAACTTAGAAGTGTACAAGAAATGAAAATTAAGATTTGAAAATATGAAGTAAATAAAGGTTTGTCAAATGCTTACAGCTAGACCACCAAGACCACCAGTCACAATCCCAATTCCCATGTCAACCAAGTTGCTATTGTTAGAAGATGAAGCTTCCAGCTGATAGTGCATGTGATACTTTACATACTCATAGACACTGAAGAAAACTGCATTTCCTAAACTTTCTCTTAACAAAGTTGTAGATCCACCACGAAAGATGCCTGTAACCTGAAAGGTATTTCTTCAACTCAAATCCATGTGAATATTAGATAGCACTGAACAGAGCATTTTTCTCACCCCTTCACTTTTTATTGTCTTAAGAGCACAATCAAGAGGACCACTGTATCCACTAGATTTGGGAACCACCGAGTCAGTGCCTTGAACTTGCATCCTACACTGAAGAGAGTCCACAGTCACCAAAATACTATGGAAACAAATGATAAGTGCATTCTATGTTGACTTGGTACAAACCAAGGAGTAATGACGTGTAATTCTGTTACTGTTAAATTCAATAAACACATCTTGAGTTCCCAACTTAGATTTTCCCAGGATCCTCAGATAAACAAGAGAAGTGCTATGTGAGATTCTCCAGTTTAATTACCTTCACTAACTCTGATGGACATAATATAAAACTGATTAAAGCTCCACCAAACGCTGCAGATGGAATTATTACTTGAAATTGTGGTCTACTATTCTGATCTTCTCTCTTCATAATCAAACAAAACATAAATTTGATGACATAACTATAGAGAATTAGTAATTACAGTCATGTCCCTGACAAAAGAAGGTATGGATTAAGTTAAGTGGAATCAACAAACATGCCATTCAATCTACATCCATACCTGCAGTAAATGCTTTATTTGGGAATAGATGCCAAATAGAAGAGAACTCTCAAAAGCCACCCCAATAAAAGATGATGTTGCCCCTGTATAAAGTCCTTTAACCTGTCAATAGCTGTGAGATTTGAGAAGTGTCCATATTTTGCCATCATATCTTAAGAGTAAGACATTATGCATTTATCCTTTCAGTCCCCCACTGGAGCAATAAGAACAATAATGCAAGAACCTTCTTTTCCACTATGACCAACTCACTTTGAGAAGAAAACACAACATTCGCCATAAAACAAAAAACACCAATCAGATGTTCCAAGAAAATATCCTGATGACTTGCAGTTACATATTTTCAGCTTTTGATTATATTATAATGTTGTATTTGAGTCTCATAAGAGAAGGTTAAAAAGACCCTATGTGTTTCATTCTGAAAAAAACAGCAGCCATGCTAGCATAGAACCCAGATCATAACAGAGTCACTTCTGGAAAGTTATGATAACCCAAAAAAGTAATCATATGTTGATTATTTACTCGAATCTGAACCCCAGCACCTGCAAACCTTATGAAGTTTAGCCATGTTCATAGAACCAAAATCAGTGAATCATGAGGTCAACAAACACACTAACCAGGACAAGAATCCTCATTTGAAAGTCTGATATTTTATCTGAAACAAAAGATTCTTTCTCCCATTTTTCTGCTTTGGCAGGCAGGGAGAACTGGGGAAGGGAGCTTGATGTTGTAGTTTAATTTGCATTGTATACAAGGAACTTAGTAAGATGGTTCACTAATAAGACCACTACATCCATCTATTGTCTCACAAAGCAGTTAATTACTGGAAAAGGCCGAAATTAGAGGAAAAACATTGAGCCCATCAAAATAGACAGTTTTAGGTTGCTATACATTCAGAAGAAAAGAAAAATTCATACCCTACATGAGAATTGAGATGAGTTGTGTTTACCACAATGAAAAGAATAATATTTAGATGCTTGCTAAAAGAAGATGAAATTAGTTAGCAGCTTCACTCTATATTTGAATCAAGGAAGAATCTCCAGACAAAGACATGTAAACATGCCTGACCACCAACATTAGTGCAAAGAACATATAATTGCCTATTTTCAATTATCTAAAGTCCTAAAGTACAAAAAGCCTCAAAAGATTAATCTTGAGTGTCACAAGAAAAAGCTCAAGAACCATACTCCTTCCATTCTCAATATTCTAGCAGTGCAATGCAAAGCATTCCTGTATTTGATGCCATGGGTTTCTGTATTGTGCTTTTGAAGCTTCACCTGATAAGAGATGAGAAATAGCAAATAAAATCACTCAACCAACATTCCAGAAAGGGAAAAAAGAACAAAAAAGCAAAATAGAAAAATGAAACTAGTCAAGCTCAGAGAACTAAAATAAATCACAGGAGTGCCAACCAACTTATAGCCATAAAAGATCATTCTCAGGAACACCACTTCACTGAAATAACAGGTAATTTTTCCTACTATAAAAGTTCTTCTCTCCAAAACTTCTTGGAACCCATATGCAGGACCAGCGTTAATAACACCTAACACCCTGAAAAAGCAGGATTTTTAAGGCCACCCTCATGCCACTGGATCCAAAGCTATCTACCAAACTGTTTGGTATCGAAACCAAGAGAATGAACTGATTGGCTGCAACACAATCAACAACTCACTTCCTCTTGTGTCATCCTAATCCTACTATCAAATAATACTATTAATAATTATAATAACAAGTGCTTCTTTTGCACACTTTGATTTAGATAACAAA